CATTTTTCACTCATCCCTCACAGGAACTCTCCCACACCATGACTATGATGGGGCAGGACAGCAAGACTTGGAGGGCATCACTATGCCTTCCTCAATATGTCTCATATGCAAGTTACCTTGAGTCTTCACTAAGAAGAATATTCCTGATCTGAATAATATTCCATATTATTTTGGTCTCAAAGAAAGCACTACTATTTATTATACTTGTCTCAGGTGGTTGCTTGAGAAACCCATCATGCAAGTTTCTCGCTCAGGTTAGGGCTGTTGATGTGTGTCATGCCCCTGTCAGAGTCTGAATCTGAGGTGGAAGATGAACAGCTGACAGGGAGTGAGAGTGTGGCTCCATTGGCTGTAGAGGAAACTGGGGAAGGGCAAAGTCCATCTGGGCAGAGCAGGGAAGAGGTAGAACAAGGGAGAGGGAGTTCAGAGGAAGACCCAGGCCTACCCCCTCTTCATCCTAGGGCACGCAGGGAGGATTGGAGAAGAGAGCAATGTGGGTTGTGTGGCTTATGGGGGAGGAAAGGGCCCTGATTGCCTTCATTAGCTACAGCTGGGAAGAGAATTTAAAAGAGATGCATGCTGAGTGCGGCAGCTGCTGGGAGCAGACGTGAGTTTATCTTGTGTTGACTTTGGTTATCTGCCATGTTGAGATATTGCCATGCCTTCACATCTGGAATTCTTCCTCTTGCCCTGCCAGACTAATTACCTTATTTTGCCTTGATTGGACTTATAGTTACAGTTTTTGTTGACCACATTTTGGACTTGATTCTCTGTAGCCAAAGGCTGTTCCTGGGAGAGTTTTTCTCCAGCCAGAAGGTAGCCATGACACTGGGGCAAAGTTGGAGCTAATAAAGGGACTCCTTCTGATTATCTGACTGTGTGGCCTTTGTGCCACACCCTGGATCATCACAGTGTGCATTCTGTCAGATTTGTGTACAACAACATTGATTTTTCCTGAAAACCATTTCTTTCATGACATCATTCCATCTCATCTCTCTCAGTAAGAAGCATGGTAGATGTGATCTGAGGTTAAGAGGAGGAGGAGGTGCTTGTAGGTTTAAAGACTAATGAGCCAGCTCCTTTGGATAAATACCAGAGGTTCTGTTCTATGCACTGAAAAGGAAATAATCACATCAACTTCTCTTACTGTCTGGGAAGGAGACAGTCCCAACAACCCAGGCTCTGTTCTTCTCCCAAAGTCTTGATTTAATAATCCCAGATCAAAAGCTGATCTCCTCTGGGAAGGCATAACATTCATATGGCTCAGAAAAATTATTGGTTTATCTAATTCATGTCATTCTCGTATCTGCATGTTCTGTCTATCGTCATTTCTGCTTGTTCTTTTTCTCCCCCTCCTTTTAAGATAATTCTTTCTGGGCAGATGCTTCTACTTAGCCTTTGGTTTTAGATGCTGCCCTTACTTTGCTACTCAGGGAATATGTTTAAGCCTCTCCTTGTTTCAGACTCCATTTTGGAATTCAGAAAATATCCTATTTAGTCTAGAGGGATTTAGTGCGTCTGCTCCTCCACACCTTCCTGTTCAAAATTCAGACCTTTGGTCTTCGCAGTGGCTATCATTTGAAATCAGACTATTCAATATTGTTTGGAAGGAAAAGAAGAATCAGATGAAATTCCATCTTTTTTACTCACAGAATTCAGACTGCCAAGTAATAGGGGAACACACTCTCTCCCCCTCCCTCTTTCTCTCCATCTCCCCCACTCCCCTTCTCCTTTTATATCCTTACAATATTAGATATTCCCAAAATGTGCCAAAAAAAAAGTTTCAGTTACTAATGGGATTCTTAGACTTGCCCAGTACAGTCCATGAAGTTCAAAATGAACTTTTGGAAAAGTACATCTTACTGGCAAGCAGTAGGTGCCTGCTGCCTAAACTACAGTAGTAAGGTTTGTATAAGGAAGGTGGAGGAGAGAATATGTAGGTACAGTGAAGCACAGAAGTCCAGGTGGATCTTTTGCCATCTTTCCCTTTTGTGCAGGTATCAGATGGCTGAGACGGAGATGGGACACCAGCCACATGACTCAAGGGCAGAGTGCAAACAAAGCTCTGCCTGGGAGGCCTGCAAGCATTGTTCTCCCTGGGAATGACAGGAAGAACAGGATTAAAAGAAGAGGACAGGACTTCAAGGAGCCCCTGGGATCCCTTCCTTTTTAGATACTTTAACTCAATTCCTCTTTTGGGGATGTTGATCTATTGAGTTTGTTTTGGTTGTACTACAAACACTTGGTGGACAGAAAGGGCCTCAAGTGAAAGAGAGAGAAAAATAACTGGCTCTTATCTTCCAGAAATATAGAGGTTGGTATTATTATTCTGAGGCTTAGAGCAAAATATCTCTCTAGATTAACAGGAAGTGATAAGGTGGGTGGACAAAGACAGAAATTACACTTGTTCCAGCCTGCTAATCAAAACATGTCTCTAAGAGCATTCGCGGACACATTTTTGGCAGACAGGACAGGAGCAAATCTAAATGCCATTTTTGTTTATTATTGCTCCCATTGGTTGCCATGCCCATGACCCCCTGTCCAGACATTATAATGTTGGATCTGCAATTTCTCTACAGTCCTGGAGCTAAAGACAAGGAAATTGGATTGCAGAAAATGGGAGGGGGGGGAGAGTTATAATCAAAGGGTTGCTTGTTTGTCTTCAATTGAAGCAAATAAATGGTTAACTGACCACTTCCTTATAAGAAATTAAGCAAAACATAGAAGAAATTGAAGAGAAGTAAGGCCATTGACCATTTGCAGACAAAGAAATAAAGAAGAGGAAGAAGAGAGGAGAGGGAAGGGGAGAAGGAAATGCTGGTAATATTTGTCACAATCATTCCATAATTAACCACTTAGGATACACTTCTAAACAGAAACACACACACACACACACACACACACATCTATGTACACACCACTTTTGTTTAAACAAATGATCATTTTTCCAATCTACTGGTCCTGTAAATAATTAAGACACAAAATATAACAAAATATTGATTGATAAATCGATACATTTGACAAATAAATAGATGCATAAATGCTCCCTGCCAACTGCACATATTTGTATCTCAAGAAAAGAACTGAGAAGAAAATATAGTTCTGGGTTTTAGGAGAGTGAAGAGCAATATTTTAAAATTTATTTATGTATTCCCCCAAATAAACTTAAAACAAATGTATGCTACTGCTGTCCAAATAAACTACAGGATTATTTTGCCAAAATCCTGTTTTGCCACAGGATTATTACAAAGATGAATAAGATTGCTAGGGAAAAAAATCATCTTCACCATCTGAGTAAAAAGTCTCAGTGAAAGAAATGCAGGTGAAAGAGGAGTGGAGAGAATGGAAATTACTTAACTTGCTCATTAGAATTCTTATTTGTACAGTACAAACCTAGTAATGCTTACTTTATAGAAGTTACATTGGATTCAGTAGGATTTCCTCTTTCACAAAGGTTTGAAGCCTTAGTTCCTTTATCTGTGATTTTCTCTCAGTTGCAACAAGCATATTATTTGGTGTTTGGGCTAAATTTGGTGTTTAATTATTTGTTTTTACTTCAGTATAGCTTGTAGAAGGGAACGTTAACAACAAACATGATGATGTCAAGAAAAATGCATGGATATGTTGATGAAGTCATCAAGATTTGAGATCTACTCAAAGGATGTGAAATGTACTAAATCAAAAGGACCAACTTACTTTCAATCTTCATCAAGAGTTGGTTTATGTTTATTTTTGATGGGAGTGATGATACAAATCATGGATTCTTCATTACAGACAAAACCTCTGAATCAAATAATCAGAGTTGGAAGGGACCTTATAGGTCATCTTATCCAACCCCCCTGGCCAAGCGGGAGACCTTACACAATTTCTGACAAATGGGAGTCTAATCTCTTATTGAAAGTCTCAAGTGATGGCGCTTCCACAACTTCCGAGGGAAAGCTGTTCCATTGGTTGATTGTTCTCACTGTCAGAAAGTTTTTCCTTATTTCCAGGTTAAATCTCTCCTTGTTCAGTTTCCATCCATTATTCCTCGTCTAGCCTACAGGTGCTTTAGAAAATAGCTTGACCCCCTTCCTCCCTGTGGCAGCCCCTCAAATATTGGAAGACCTCTATCATGTCTCCCCTGGTCCTTCTCTTTAACTAAACAAGCCAAGCCCAGTACCTGCAACCGTTCATTGTATGTTTTAGCCTCCAGTCCCCTAATCATCCTGGTTGCTTTTCTCTGTACTTTTTCTAGAGTCTCAACATCTTTTTTATAATGTGGTGACCAAAACTGGATGCAGTACTCTCGGTTATTCATTCAGTTATGAGAAATGTTGAGAAAGTGCATTCTTCTGCATGAGCCTTTTGTTCATGAGGGACAAAAATTCCTCTGAAATGTTCTAATTCAGCAGCCCCCAACTTTATGGGCACCAGGAACCGGTTTAGTTGAGAAAGGTTTTTCTATGGACTGGAGGGGCTGTGGTTTTGCATGCTGCCAGCATCCACAGATGGGGCTTCGCTTGAGTGCATGGCCCAGTTGCTGGCAACCCATGGCCCAATGTCAGTCCAGAGCTTGGAGACCCCTGCTCTAATTCATAGAAACTTGGAATGATTATGGAACACCATGGGAAAAAAATTATGAAAAGTTCAGTATTTCTAAACTTTTTTTCTCCTGATACGTTACTATACAAAGTTATGTCACTGAATGGAGTCATAACAGGAATCCAATGTACACTAGATCACTTTCATAGGATAGAAACAAGGAAAAAGAGAAAGTTTCTATATGAATTGACTGAATAACAAATTTTGTGTCTATTTTTCTTGATTTGTTTTATCCTAATACTTTTATTTACTCCATGCCCTTTGAAGAAAAGAAATTACTTCCATGTGAAGTCAATTTAACTCTAAAGCTAAATATATATTAATGATGAGCCAAGTTCCATTAGTCATACTTATGTTTTGCTTTTTTTGTCCAAGTTGCATATATTGTTCTCTCCTTTTATTGTCTCATAGGAATATATCTATGGTCCCTGGAATTATAGGATGCATTGGATTCCTTTTTGCAAAGCAGCAGGAAGAGGTATTAACTTGGAGAAAGGAATGTAATATCTGATTGTCTCTCCATTAGCCTTCAAAGCTATTTTTTTAAGAGGCTGGGAAATCTGCTGGACTGTAAGTCCCCACTCCACCTCTTGAAGCTCATAGGACACTCCAAGAATGTTAGGATGATGAAAACGATGTCCTTTCTGACAGACCTAGCTCTAGCAATTAAAATATACTTTAAAAAACACCTCCGTAATACATCTTCTTTGGAAGGAAACCCAGCAGAAGCAAGTGGGAAAAAGACAATAGGAATGTAAACGTTATTATCCGAGCTTCTCTTAAAGTTATGTGCATGAGGCAAGATGATTGCACCATAAAGTCTCCTCTGGAAATATCCTGGCTATTATGAAAATGAAGCATTGATTCTTTAGCAGGCAAGGAATTTATCATCCTGTTAAAAACTGAAGAACTTGGCTGGGGCTAGATAAGATAATTGGGGGTCTCAGTCTGCTAAGATGACCTAGAAATAGCAGCTATTCTTAGGCATGGAACTAGGCAGTTGCCTCAGACCAATTATAGGTGTTGGTGTCTGTATATGCTTGTGCGTGTGCACACTCACACATGTGAGATAAGTGTTTACCTTCTTAAGCCATCCGGGGCTTAAAGAGAGCCTTCTGCTGCAAAGCAAATTACATTGATGGAAATATTAAAACCTGCAGTGACTTTATACCTATCTGGTCTACAGCTCCATCTTGTTCCATAGTTTAATACATTTGTAAATTTTCTGTTATCTGTAGAAACACTGTTTAATAGCTTAACTGAGCAATACATCATTGGCAAATAGTGAGTAACTTGGGGAATGTACTGTGCCATTTTCTTTCTAGACTTAAAAATAAACAAAACTCAACTGAAGAAAATAAAATCTTGATAGAGATCCCTATTATCTAACTATAGTGGTTAATACCAGAATGAACCCGCAGAGGGCAGGCTTCCACAAGACATTTCCCCACGTATGTATGAGCTCAAAGCCTAATTAGCTGAACAGTCTTACTTTTTTTGAAGTTGAAAGAAAAGGAGGAGCTACTTTAAGAGGCTCTTGCTCTAAGTACCTTCTGTGGAGGAGGCTGGCAGGTTTTGATGGCAACTAGAGATTGGTGGTACCAATCTCTAATTCCAGCCCTCTATCTCAATTTATGAACAAGGCATCCAGATCACTGAGTATCCTTGTTTCTGGTTAACAGTTCTGAATGCTAGGTATGTTTGTAATCAATTTAATCTTATTGGAGATAAGGGATCAGGTCTGGTGTGCGCTATTGAGACCTGGCTGAATAAGATGTCTATCCAGTCAGATTTCATACAGTCATCAATCCTGTTTTCAGAGTAAGGAAGACAGCCTGAAAATTGTTTATCGTGAGACTCTGGCCTTTGTGAGATCATTTTTCTTCAGGAGGCCAGATATGAGTTGTTTGATCACATTGCAGTAGATTTACCCAGAGTGTTAGTGTTGGACAGTTATGAGGTGGCTTCAGAATTCATGTCCATAATAATAACCATGGATTTGCCCAGGTAGCTGACCATCTACCTGGCTTTTATTTTAGAGCAGTTGACTTGTTATGGACATTTCATCCTCTCTGTAAGGTTAACTGGAGACAGTAATCCTTGCAGATAGGAAGTACCAATTACAACTGCCTACCCCAGATTTTGATGGATTTGGAGAAATTCCAGACAGCATTTGGGGGGATTTCTTAGATATCAGGAGGGTAGGTCTATTAAATGGCTTGTCTGGAATATGAAAATGTCTAGGGTACTGGATAGATTGAGCAGGTTCTCATTGCTTATCAATGTTAGACTATTCCTTTATTCTTTGAGGCGCTTTGGGAGATGAAGGGAGTGAATAGGTGCATGAGAAATAACTGGGATAATGTATAGAGCTTAAATTAGAGCTTTTTCAATTTATGGTGGTAAAGGTGGCTCTGTGGGAATACTTTTCAGTCCTCACTGTATTTGTAGATAGTTAGCTTGATGTACTCATTAGTATGTTTCAATCCCTTCTTGCTGGCAAACTCTATTGATATAAGTTCTAATTGTCTGGCCAAACATTTTATGGTTAAAATAACTCATATTAATTCTGAATAGAAAGTTGGGTGGACAGAATCCAAAAAAGTGACAGAAGTGATGTTTGCAGTCTTAATTGAAAGTTTTAGAGCCTGTAGATCTCAGGAAGTAAAAACATATGGACTAAATTTATCCCATCTAGCTAACTAAGTTTTAAAATAGCTGACATAAAGGAACTAAATTTGGTACCCTTTGAGCATCACAGCTCAGTGAGAAGTCTTCCCAGTCCCAACTGAGTTGTCAAAGCTTGCTCTATTGTTTGAGTGTTGCAGATGTATAATATATCTCCAATGTCTTTTTCCTTCTTTCCCTCCCTTTCTGCAGACTTCACATATAATTTGTCTTCTTGGTCTCACCTGTTAAGAATGGCCAACTTCACCAAAGCCAATTTCACCGAGGAAAACACTAAGTATAAAATCGTGGAAATGATTTTCATAGCTACTGTAACTGGGTCACTTAGTCTTGTCACTGTGGTTGGAAATATCTTGGTCATGCTGTCCATCAAAGTGAACCGCCAACTTCAGACTGTCAACAACTATTTCCTCTTTAGCTTGGCCTGTGCTGACTTGATAATTGGCATCTTCTCAATGAATCTGTACACCGTGTATATAGTCAAGGGCTATTGGCCACTTGGGGCTGTAGTATGTGACCTCTGGCTGGCACTGGACTATGTAGTGAGTAATGCCTCTGTCATGAACTTACTCATCATCAGTTTTGACCGCTATTTCTGCGTTACCAAACCACTGACCTACCCAGCTAGGCGGACAACCAAAATGGCAGGACTGATGATTGCAGTTGCTTGGATATCATCCTTTATCCTCTGGGCACCTGCCATATTGTTTTGGCAGTTCATTGTCGGAGAGAGGACAGTACCAGAAGGAGAGTGCTACATTCAGTTCCTCTCCAACCCGGCTGTAACCTTTGGCACAGCCATTGCTGCTTTCTACCTCCCAGTGGTTATCATGACTGTGTTGTACATCCACATCTCATTGGCCAGCCGGAGCCGTGTGAGAAGGCACAAACCAGAAAGCAAGAAAGAGAAGCGGACTAAGCCCCTCAGCTTTCTGAAAAGCCCTCTGGTCAAGCAGACTAACAACAATTCTCCCAAAAAAGTGGTGGAGGTGAAGGAGGAAGCAAAAAACGGGAAAGTAGAAGAGCAGCCCTTGCAACCATCTGAAACTACTGGCCACCAAGAGGAGAAAGAAACCTCTAATGAATCCAGCACGGTAAGCATCACCCAGACGAATAAAGAGAAACAGGGGCTGGAGATTGTACCAGCTGATACAGGCGAGAGCCCTGCCCATCCTCGGATCAACCCTGCCTCTAAGTGGTCCAAAATTAAGATAGTCACTAAACAAACTGGGACTGAATGTGTCACTGCCATTGAGATTGTCGCAGACAAAGAAACCCATTCCACCCCAATCACCTTATCAAACAGCCGTCCAGCTAATGTTGCCAGGAAATTTGCCAGCATTGCCAGGAGTCAGGTCAGGAAGAAGCGACAAATGGCAGCTCGAGAGAAGAAAGTCACCAGAACCATTTTTGCCATCTTGTTGGCTTTCATTTTGACATGGACACCTTACAACGTGATGGTCCTCATTAATACTTTCTGCAATTATTGTGTTCCTGAAACAGTCTGGTCCATTGGGTACTGGTTGTGCTATGTCAACAGCACCATCAACCCAGCTTGTTATGCCCTTTGTAATGCTACCTTCAAGAAAACTTTTAAGCATCTTCTTATGTGTCAGTACAGGAACATTGGTACTGCAAGATAAGCTGGATTTGGGGAAGTGCTCAGCAATGAGGTCATATGTGGAGATGTGTTATTCTCCAACCAGATAAATCTATTATTCTTAGTCACACCATTCATTACTAGATGGAGCCTTTCACCAAATGCAGAATCAGAATTAGTAAAAACATACAATTTCAACATACTTGGCTCTTGAATATTCACCAAGAAATAGGCAGATCTTCCACCCAGATGATCCTCTTGACTGTGCTTCTTCAGAACACAAAGAAGAAGAAGGAAGCTAGGGATTAAAATGTGGTGAAGCCTCACAGTATCACCAGACAGACGTAACAGACTGTGCTCTTTTGCCTTGCTGTTCTTGAAATACCGTAAACTTTCATGATCTTCTAATTTCTGTCTGACTAAACTAGGATGCCTCTATTGGTGGCACATTAGAAAGAAACGCAACAAAAAAGATCCTTGTTTCCTTGGATGCATTGTTGGCTTTACACTTGTGTGCAACTATGAGACAGAAAGAACAGCAAGGGACAACAGGGTTAATTAATTGAACAGTGAAATGAAAACATATATATATTGTTTCAGCACCAGTCATCAAGCTGTATCAATTTCTATTTGTAGGCTCTAGGATTTTGTCTAGTTGAATTTCCAGTGTCCCAGGTACAAGGGACTTGTTCCTCTCAGGGAATATAGCAGTTGCTGGATAGACGTGTCCGCTTCATAGGCTTCTCAAGGACCTTACCAAATCTGCCTCAACTCCATTTCTCCATGGCAGGCTGTTGGGCCAAACAGACTTCTTTCAGGATGGGTTGAATGCCACCTCGTATCGTTTTGAAAAAAACAAGGATATCGCATGGATACTCAAAGTCGGTTCTACAACATTTTGGGTCATGTGCCAAAGTTGTCTAAAGTTATTAATCTCAAAGGTAAGCATGGTGTCCTTGAAGCAGTGAATGCTCGACAGCAGCTCCAAGGAGAACAGCAAATAAAGCAACCATGATGGTGGAAGAAGATATCTACACTGGCAAGTCTTTCTAAGAGAGTCTTTGAAGCCCTTCGTTTTTGTTCCTTTTAAAATTATGTCACCATGCATACCAAGTCCCCCTTGCTCCACACATATTTGCTTAAGTATCACTTCTTTTTATGTACTTAATTTTTTTAAAATTTTGATAGTAGGTTCTGAACCAGGCTGTGGTGGAGAAAAACAATGAGTGGCTGCCCCACTTGTTTCTGCATTATGAATTTGAGGGCATACTAAGAAGATACTCATGAGCTTTGTAAATGAGCATTGCCTTCCTTCTAGTCAGTGTTGTCATAGATCCCTCAGCATGTGGGTTCCAGTGTACATAGGCAGCCTAAATCCCAGAATACTCATGTTCCGTGTAGACCAATTAATTCCACGTTTTGCTCGATGTCTCTGGCACCCTCAGGAACATATTAGAGCAGAGTATAATCAGTGATCCAATGTTTCCTGGGTTGGAGTGACCATGGTTATAGACCTCTCTATTTCATGGCTAAGGGCTGTCAGTTGAAGAGATGCCCTTACATTTGGCCAAAGGCTCCTGCTTCATGTGGCTATAGAGGCAGCTAGGCTGCCACTGCCTTTCACATAATTTGCATAATGTTGTCCAAAATGCCTTGCAGTGTTTTTTAAAAATTAATTTATTAATTTATTTGTTACAACTACAGTGGGAAACACTTAAACAAATAAAATAATTGAACTATATATATAGCACACCTTCGAGTCAATCTTTTTTTCAACGAGTTGCAAACATTCTTCTCCTCCACAGAGAATTGTTCAAGATATTAGGGATTAAACTTGAAACTCAAGATTTTGTGACTTAAAAGGTCTTGTGAAAAGCCTCAAGATGAACCAGGGAGTATCCCCTAATCTAGTGACCTCTGGATCTATTAGCCAGAATTCCCAGCCAATTCAATGTATTCCAAGGGGACCAAATTGGAAAACTTCCAATTTAGAATATTTTAACTGTTAGGAAGATGTAATAGATCTTTTGTAAATTTAGTCAAGTTGTAAAGCTATATGACATGTAAAATAAAGTTACAGTAATCTAGAATAAGAAATAGTTATTGATTAAGAAGGTTAAAAATTACTTGCTCAGAATTAAGTTATCCTAAAATACCACTTTGGAACTAGAATGACCTAATAGGAAATTAAGAGGGCACTGTCACATAGCTGTATTCTTGCAATAAACTAAGACAATTTGACAGGCCTAGCACCTCATTGGAATCTGGGCTATAAGTTAAATTGTGGTTAAGGAGTACATTAACCACAATTTTAACAATATTTTGTTAACTTTCTTTTCTTGTGTTTTCTGGACTTAGACATCAAGATTAATTGCTTGTAAATTTTGGTTCTGGACTCCAACTAAGAGGTGACTAGAATGGTCGTAAAATGGAACTGCATAAGTTGTATCCACATATTTTAACAAAATTGTTAAAGCAAACGTTTCATCTGGTTAGACACTGTCCAGGTAGTTGTGATATCTTTTATAGCAATAGCACGTAGGCTTATGTATTGCTTCATACTTCTTCATAGCACTCTCTGAGCAGTTTACAGAGTCAGCATATTGCCCACAACAATCTGGGTCCTCATTTTACCGACCATGGAAGGATGAAGTCAACCTTGAGCAGGTCAGGATTGAATCCTGTCAGTGGGCAGATACCCTGTCTTATTTACACTGTTTTAATTCCTCCAAAATGCCTGCTAACTAGCAAAGCAGGAGTGGTCCAAATTGACCCCTAGACAAGGCTTATCATGTTGTGTGAAAATGTTTGTGTCTCTGCTGTGGTTAAGTATGAAAAATTCCTCCACTAACTCGCCACCAATCCTATCATACCAGCTTCTTCCCATTTATTTGTTCTAGAGACCAAAGATAGTTCTTTAATGAGGCAAAATGAGGTGGCCATTTGGAATGACAGATAGAGGATACAGCAGTAACAGAACCAGTTAAATTGATGCCCTCTTCCCTGTGACAGCCCTTCAAGTATTGGAAGGCTGCTATGATATCTCCCCTAAGCCTTTTCTTCGTTAGACTAAACGTAGCTATTTCCCTCAGCCATTCATCATATAATTTAGCCTTCAGATCTTTTAGCACTTTTGGCAATGCAGGATTTTTTATTTTTTTTTGAAAACCACTTCTATTCCTTGATACCTGCGCTAATATGCTATGGGAATGTCCCCAAAGCCCTTGAAAGTATAATTACTGGAATAAGTAAGTGGAATTATATAAAATTATGCATTCAATAGGACACAAAAGCTGAAACTTACATAGTGGAAAACCAAGAGGAAAAGCTTATTTCAGTTTGGATATTATTACTTTTTTTTTTTTGCAATGTAGATGAGAAAAAATCCTCATTCTACTGTAATTCCACAGGACAACTACAAATGTGATGAGTTGTTGAGATTCATATTTTGAAGCAGGAAATTGGTAAGTGTGATAGCTGTCCTCAATCTTTGGAACTCCCTGCCAAGGGAGATCAGATCAGCTCCTTTTTAAAAAATCTGTCTGATGGTAGGAAAAAAACCCACATTTTTTTAAAAAAAATACTCAGACAAACCTTTGATGGTATGTTGGAGACTCTGCTGAGTTGAGTTTGGAAGGCTTGAATAATGTCTTGAAAAAAAAATTTTTAGAATAATATTTTCACTAAAATACAATTTAACAAGCATTTTTACAAGAATTGGGTTTTTGTTTGATTTAAAACCTTTTTTAATTGGCTAAGATATCATTCTTTAAAGGAAAAGAAGGTTATCATTCAGATAATTAAACGATCAGTTATATGGGGTGAATTGTAAATGCTGAATAAGGACATAATACAGTATAATCATATAATTAATTGCTTTGCCATCTGGAAAAAAAAATCTCCTCTTGACCCCCTTGTGGCTTTCTTAACAAGAAGCAATGGGCTTAAATAGATGCATCCCTTGAGGTTGTTTTCCTGCTATTTAAAAGTAAGGCAAATCTATAGCCCTGCAGACTTTTTATTATTCTGATACCAGGTCAGGGAGGTCAAATTGTTGCATCCTGGAAAGTCCCTGAAGGACTCAGTTGAAAGGTAGTTTTAATCAAGAAGGGCTTCAAGCATTGCCAAGCAGTGATAACTACATAGCCAATGAATTAGTTTTCTTTCCTGGACGAACAGGGACTCCTGATGGATGAAGCAATAAAGAACAGAGCAGCAGCAAGCTTTGCAGTACCCTGTAATCAAGCTCTGAAATTCTAGGGCTGAATGCTAAGCATAGAGCGCCCTGATGCAAGAAAGCTGCTTCAGACAAAGAGACCTCAGTATACACCTTGCCCTTAATGTGAGGATAGGTTGAAATGCCAGGTAAGTTAAGAAAGGTGTGTGACTCCATGGCGTTTAAAATGGTTCCTTTCTTTTATTCAAGTTGGAATTATTACAAAAATAAAGTTTGATGCCAGCAATGTACTTACATTGGTGTTAATTATTAGCCTAATTAACATCAAGCATTCAGAGGCTCATTAAAATGTTTCCTGCAAGTTTAAATGCAAAATGTCAGGCCTTGCACCAACAGAACTTAATCGAAAGCCACATTCCTGTTTTTCACGTTAGTCATCTTAGAGGTGGTCCCCCCTCCCAACATTCATATGCTATATAACAAAGTTATCAAGTTGATTTACAATTAAAAAGGGTCTCTATTTATTGGATGAGGAAATTGGAGTCTCCAAGATTCTAATATTCTGAGAAATACATAAGGAAGAAAATGATATTTTTAGTAACCTGGCTCAAAGCTAATTGTAGCTTTAAGGAAATTCAAATCAACTTACTAAACAAGACCCAGAAGCAGATCAGGACCAAAGCAGCTGGGGAAGCACAAGTATAATAAAGTTTAAATGTCCAGTTCTCAGTGTCATTGTGACCCCTGTTTTTGGATTAACAGAACTGAATACAAAGGGAATTGTATCCACAATTCAATGTCACAGGGCTTGTTACTAGAGCATGCAACTATGATCAAGCTGTTTATATTTGGGTAAGAGCCAATCA